CGGGAACGGAACGAAACTAACTACCTCACACACACACACACACACACACACACACACACACACACACACACACACACACACACACACAGATCACACATACATACACACACATACAGAGCACTCGCGCTCACACACGCACGCACGCACACATCGAACACGTCATACACGCATCCGCCCCCTCGCGTCACCAGCCCTCCCCCGTGGCTGCAAAGTGGCGATCATACGCGCGAAGGGCGTGCTCGCCGTAATCGGCCTTGTGAGCAAGACAACAGGACGTCCCGTCGAGCGTGTTGCTGCACTGCCGGCGGTGGCGTGTTGGCGACTGCCCGAAGAAGTGCGCAAGCAGCTCTGTTGTTGGTGCCGCATCCGTCTCCCACGCACCAAACGTCCACTGATTGGTGAGGGCATGGCGGTGGTGTTGTGTGTGTGTGTGTGTGTGTGTGTGTGTGTGTGTGTGTGTGTGTGTGTGTGTGTGTGTGTGTGTGAGCGTGTGTGTGTGAGCTGGCTCTGTTGTACGTCACAATTACAAGAAAGAAGATGCAACGAAAAGTTCAGGGCAAAGCAACATGTGCACGCAGCCTTACATTCACACAGGAACGGGAAGATTCACGCACGCGCACATTCACGTGTACTAACACAAGTCCGACCAACACACACATACACATACAAACGCAAATACGTACGTACAGTTACACACGCACACACACAGCACACACACACACACAACACGCACACACGCACACTCACACACACTCACTCGCACACACACACACACACACACACACACACACAGACGCATACCTGTGGGGGAAAGCCGAAGAAGCCGTGGCGGGCCGGGTAAATCTTGCAGTGGACATCAAACCCGGACGCGTGCAGGCGCTCGTGTGCAAAGAGCGTGGAGTAGATGAGCGGGTCACGCGAGCCACCAACAAACAGCGTGCGCGGGAAGTGTTGAATGTCGTCGTGGATGTCCATGAGCGTGTATCGGCCATTGAAGACGCCATCGAGGTTGGTATACAGCTCCAGCGCACCAGATATGCCGGCCTCCGCCATGAAGTTTTCCAGGCGGGTAATCTGCTTCAGGCAGCGCCCGCGCCACGAGGTTTGGTCGAGCAAGCCGTACAGGCACGCCATGCTCTCGACGCGCGGGTACGTGTAGTGCAGCAGGTCTGGCTCGTCGACGGCAGCTGCGAACTGGCGCATGAGGGGCGGGTTCATGATGAGCGCAGCCGCCATGCTGACAAGGTTGCCGCCCGCGGAGTCACCAAGCAGCATGACCACGGGCACGCCCTCGCGTGCGTGGATCCAGTGCAGGGCGCGGAGGGTGGAGACGAGGGCGGCGGGGAAGCGGTGCTCTGGCGCAAGCGGATAGTCCATGGAGTAGACGCGGAACCCTTGGCGGCAGAAGCATGTGATGGAGTGCATGAGCACGGAGCTGCTGGCGAACACAAACCCACCGCCGTGCGCATACAGGATGGTGCGTGCTTTGGATGGCGGCGCATCGCTCAGCTTCTGCGCGTGCTCCGCATCTGGTTCAACCACATGCACCATCTCCTTCTCTATGTAGGTGAAAGGGGAAAGAGGGGAGGGGATGGGAAGAAAGGTGATGAGAGGTATGGGGTGCAAGGGCAAGGCGTGCATGCGCACAAGGCGCGTTTGCGCAGCAGAAGAGGGTGTGGATGCGCAGCAGAAGAGGGTGTGGATGCGCAGCAGAAGAGGGTGTGGATACGCAGCAGAAGAGGGTGTGGATGCGCAGAGGGTGTGTATGCGTACAACATGGCACGCACACACATGCACATACAAGCAAGCCAACACACACAAGCAAGCAAGCCAACACACACACACACACACACACACACATGCAAACACCTCTGTCGCCGTAGGAGTCCCAACGAATGGAGGCAACACCCTTCATGATTTGCTGTCGGTCTTGGGCGTGAGCGTGGGGCCAGAAGAGCCAAAGCTTCCATTGCACCCAGGTCCAGAAGCCATCAACGTGCCAGCGGATGAAGCGGATAAACGCTGTCAAGAGGAAGCAGCGCGCGGACCTCGGCAGTGCTGCAAACGCGCGGCACGCCACATTCCACAGCGCGTGTATCGATGCAACAATCACATACAGCGCAACCAGTCGCACCAAGTAGTGCACCACCACCAGCAAGAACTGCATCATGTCACAGAGGCGAAGGTGTGGTGGTGAAGCGAGAGCGTCGGTGATGGTTTGGTTGGTGGTGAAGGTGGTGTGGTTGGTTTGGTTGGCTGGTGGGTTGTTGTTTTGGTTGTTTTGGTGGTGGTGGTGTGATCATTTCATGCCTACAGTTTGTGCTGTCGCTTTAGGAAACACTGCCCAATCCAAACGCGCAACGAGGCACCGAACGAAAGCAACAACGCAACGTTCGCCAACCCCCCGATGACGTCATGTCACGGTCATGCAACAATCGCTTCGTTTTCAGCAATCAATCTGTGGCGTTGCTCTTGTCAGTCAATACACCCCTCGCATCAGAACAAGAGAACAGCAGCTATGTGCTCAGTGTGCCGCCCCGGTCATCGGCCTTTTCCCCGACCTTTCCACCTCTTCCCCCCATTCCTCCATTCCTCGTTTTGTGTAGCAGTGCAGCAGCTCCACACACACACACACGCACGCACGCACACACACACACACACACACACGCACGCACGCACACTGGAAGGAAGGGTGGTGTTGTCAAACGAAGGTAAGAAGAAGAAAGGAAGCACTCGTCATTTTCCACGTTGTTGTGTCTTCACGCAGTTGGTTGCTCGCGACTCTTGTGTAAGTGGCTGTGCATAAGTGTGCGTAAGTGTGCGTAAGTGTGGTGTGTTCTGGGCTTGACTTTTGTCGTCGTCTGCCTTGCTGTTTGTGCTTCGCTGCTTTCTTGCCTGACCGCTATATATGAAACCAACACACACACACACACACACACCAGCACATTGAGCGATCGATCAGCACGCGCCCAGCTCACCCACTGTCTCATCGGCTCACGTGCGTTGCTTATTTGCATCCCACACTTCCGTCAGCACCCAAGCACTTGTTGAGTTGCTTGCCACTCCCAGCTGCTGGCTCGCAAACGTGTAAACACTGGACAACATGCACGCCACAGCAACAACTCCGTCAGCACGACCGGCGCGTGCATTGATACACGCCGCAAGTGCCGATAAGGCAAGTGATAGCACCGCGAAGATGCCTGGACAACAGGTGCTGGTGCGCGAACAGGGCGGACAGGGCCGCCCGCACTTTGTCCCCCATGACGAAATGCGGCTGGACATGGAGCAGCTCAAGATCGCGTTGGGGTCGTGGACAGCCGTGGTGGAGTTGGTGCCGACGTGGCACGAGGTCTTCTTCGCAGAGCTGTTTCAGGCACACCCGGAGACAGAGCGTTTGCTCTATTCGTCCGACAAGAGCAAATCGTGGAACGAGCGGCACATGGCACGCGTCGGCAAGTCTGTTGGGGATGTGATCAAAAGTCTTTCCAACTACGACGACGTCATCGAACACCTTACGGTGCGTGGAGTGTGTGCTCGTGTGTTGGTGTTTGTTTGTTTATGTGTGTGTATGTGTTGTGTATGTGTGGTGTGTGTTTTTGTTCGCATGTGCATGTGGTGTTTGTGCGTGTGTGGTTATATTGTGACTGTGTGTTGTTTGTTCCGCTGTTGGTCTGGCTGTCCTGTTTGCGTGCTGGAGAGCTGCGTGATATGCCACCGAGGGTTGCTGGATCACCTCCACTCCACAGACTGGCGAACCTCATGAGCAAGCATGTTGCTTGACCGACGGTTATGTTATTGGAACAGGCCTTGGGAACACGCCACGCTCGCTATGGCTTGCATGTGGATCAACTGGATTTGTTCATCAACGCTTTTCTTTGGACCTTGGGTGCTGGACTTGGTGACAGCTGGGACCACAGCGTCAAAAAGGTGTGTGCGTGTGTTTATGTGTGTGTGTATGTGTATGTGTGTATACATGTGTGTGTTGTTACATGATTGTTTTTGCAGGTGGGGGCGCTTCTTTGCTTCTTCTCCACTCAATTGCAACACCACTTACCCCGTCAGCACTCCTCCTCATCTTCCTTCTGTTCTGTGCATCATGTCCTTCGCACAACATCAGGCATGGATGCATGTTCTGCCCTTCATCTTGTCGCCACTCAAGTCAGGGCTGGTTGTTGCCCGCACACTGCGCAACGACTACAACACCAGCGGCTGCCTCCGTTGCAGACGCCTCTTGATCCCGCTGCACGGCCGCAGGCTTCGCCCCATCACCGTGTCCCTGGTCTAGGGATGTTATTTCTGTGTGCGTGTGCGTGCGTGTGTGTGTTGGGTGGTGTGTGTGTGTGTGTCGGTGTGTGTGTGTGTCTGTCTCTCTCTCTCTCTGTCTCTCTCTCTGTCTCTCTCTCTGTCTCTGTCTCTCTCTCTCTGTCTCGCTCTCTCTCTCTCTCTCTCTCTGTAGTGGCTCCCGCTTTCGCGTTATCTTTCCCATTTAAGGTTCTTCCTTGCATCACATCTTCACGCCTTCTGCCTTGAGTTCTTTTGACTCCTTGACTCGCACGAATCGAGGCACGGCCACTCGAAAAGCCACCTATCCAAGCATCCTCTTGGTGCCTGAGTATCCTCTCTGCTCCGTCTGCTGATGTGCCAACCACTGTGTTCATATCTTGTTGGTGTGTTGCCGATGCTTGCTTTCCATGCAGACCCTGCGTCCAGCACACGCCGTGCCCTCACCATTGTTCTCGGGGAAAAGGCCTCTGTGCTGGGTCGTGGCCGCACAAACAGCCGTTCTTAGCTTCCTTTGTTCATAGGTTCTGTCTCCTTTGCTCTTGCTGTTGCCCAGGCAGCCTCGCTCCCTCGCTTTCCCTCCTTCCCCTCTCTTCCCTAGTACCCCATTCCCCTCCTTTGCCTTTGCTTCAGCTTCGCAGCTTCTTCGCTTCTGCTTCGCAGCTTCCTTTCGTTTGACTGCACTGCACTCAAGTCAACTGTGTCAGTGAACCCGTAAT